TCAAAAACACATGAGCTGAAAAACCAAGAGGAGCAAATCTATGAAAAGGTGTATATCTTCACAGATAAAGCCTTATCTGGTCACTGCTATGATATTTAAGCTACATTTAGATGCATATTTTAGCAGTGGTGTGTATGTTAGGCCTTATTTACATCTCTGAGTTGCAAATCTATTATCTAATAAAGAGTCATTAAACAAGATATTTTGAATTATTACTTTTTCAGTATGGTGTCAGACGTCCTCTCTTATCGTGGCCTTAAGAAAACTGATGTTGGTTTAGTCAAAGTGAAGATGCATAGAGGGTTTACTAAGATGTTGTCTGAAAATGACAGAAACCTTCCTCTTCAACAGGAATGTATATAGCTATAGTATCAGAAACGTACTTATATGTTTGAATCCAGTGTTTTGTTGTTTTTTTTTGTCCTTGCAGTTTACAAAAAAAAAATTAAACCCAGAAGCTAAGGGATGATGATGTTGATGGCACTAGGAATCAACATATCTAACATTAGCTCAACTTAAACCACCTGAACATTTTTAGATGGAGATAAGTGTAAAACAAACTTGTTAGTTTTGCAGAATATCAAGGAACTTCCATTTAACCCCGCAGCAAAAAAACATCAGGGCTGATTTAATTTCATTTTCAATAAGAAAAGCCTCAGCAAAGGTTATATTCATTAGCTGATGATGCAGCAATAGGCAATTGAATCAGACAGCAATTAAATCTAATTCAATATTATCTACGCACTGGTTTGTCATTTATTTCATCACTTTATGGGAAATGTTTTAGCATCAGACAGGGCAAACATACCCTCCAAACAAATGGAAAAGTCAAATACTTGGTTTTCTGGTCTAAATGTGCAATATTAAGCATGAAGGAGTGAAAAATGAAAGTTATAAACATCTTTTTTTCTTTAAAAGTAGGAGTTGGAAGAAGAAGAGCACTGTAAGCAGTAGCATTTTGTTATCTTTTTAATAAATAGGATAAGGTTGCACTTTGGTCTAATAACAGATAAAAGTCAGGGCTATGAATCAAGCATACTGCTTGAATTCTGTTGACTAAACAGGAAAGATCTCATTGAAAAGATAAGATCAAAGATATGTTTTATTTGCATGACAAAAACTGAGGCCATAAAAAGATAACCCCCCCCCCCCCAAAAAAAAAAAGAGCAAATGGAGGAAATGTTGCTGAATATTCAAATGAACATCCTGTTCAGTAACAGCGCAAATTAAACTGCTGAGATAAAGATGAGAATGTGCTGGCTTCCTCAAACATTTCCCACTTTCAAAATATCTTGGTCTCAAAAAAAAGGGTTTCCTGGTAGAGATAAAGTGTTTGTACAGTAGGAGGTGTTCTGTAGCCCGATAATGTCTAATGTGTTTTCTCTTTCAGACTCGGTTATATTGACACATTGTAGCCAACTTCCTTATTCCATCCATCAAAAAAACACACACACAGGATCTCCTAAAAGACTGTGCGCATCACTGCCAGTAATGTGAAAGTCAAACTTCCCAATGTCTCTCTTGGTTGACTGCCTCTGAGGTGTCAACACACGCAGTTCTTATTCTGGTTAAACACTACCTGAGAATTAAAGAAGCGATGCAAGACCTCATGTCACTGGAAAAATACCCATGAAGTATTAGAATCAGAAGCAAACAGTAGGAGTTTTAGAAATTGTCTTAACAGGAACAGCTAGTTTATAGTCTACAGCTTCTGGAAAATGTGTATTTCTCCTCCTCTTCCCTCATCTGATTAGCTGCTCCTCATAATGCGAAAGACCAAGACTTTTTGTCTGCAGCTCCTAAGATGTAGAATAGTCTACCACTGCTTATCAGAAAGGTATGGAAGCCCATTTCTGCCACATGAAAATAAAAAAATGAAGTAACTATGGGGCTACTCAGTGGTGCAGTGGGTAGCACTGCTGCCCTGCAGTAAGAAGGTTCTGGGTTCAATTCCTGGCCCGGGGTCTTTCTGCATGGAGTTTGCATGTTCTCCCTGAGCATGTGTGGGTTCTCTCTGGGTACTATGGCTTCCTCACACAGTCCAAAAACATGACTGTTAGGTTAAATGGTTTCTCTACAGTCCCCTTAGTTGTGTGTGTGAATGGATGTTTGTTTTGTGTTATAAAATGGATGGATGGATAGACATAATTATGTGATTTAAATAAATAATTTTGAGCTTTAAAGTCATAACTTCGACTTTCAACGTCATAATTATGAGATACAAAGTGTGAAAGTCAAATATCTCATAATTATGACGTTGAAAGTCAAAGTTATGACTTTGTAATTCAAAACTACAACTTTGAAAGTTGCTTTCATATAAAGGCCTCCTCCCTCTGTTCTTAGATCATGTCTCCTTAATCTGATATTTTTTCATTGCAGGATAATTTTTATAGATGTTTTATGTTTCTTTGTGATATCTATTCCCTATATATGATATTTTGGTCCTTTAAGACGCGTCAAGCTGATTTATAAATAAAGTTGGATTAGTTTAGGGCTGCTCAGTGGTGCAGAGGGTAGCATTGATGCTCTCAAGCAAGAAGGTTGCAGGTTCAATTCCAGGCCTGGGGTCATTCTGCATGGAGATTGCATGATCTCCCCTGTGGGTTTTATCTGGGTACTCTGGCTTAGGTTAATTGGCTTCTCTAAATTCTCCTTAGGTGTGAGTGAATGGTTGTTTGTCTCTGTGATGGACTGGCAACCTGTCCAGGGTGGACCCCACCTCTCCCCTGTAGACAGCTGGAGATAGGCACCAGCACCCCTTGTGACCCCATTAAGCCTATCAGTGGATGGATGGATTAGTTTAGATACAATAATGATCACAAACTTTTACAAAGAGGGTAGGTATAAGACTATCAACTGCAATAGGAAATATCTCTTTTGTATGCAGAGTGGTGGTGCAACTTTCAACCTGCTAATTTCCAGTGATGGATATATTTATGGAGAAATTGGCCTTCATTCATTGCAGGCAGACAGGAAGCTGCTAAAGGTCTCTGCTCTCCAATCATTAGGAAATGAGTGGAAAATTAGTGATCCCCGTAGAAATGGAAAGCAACTGCTGATTTAATTACAAGTAGATTTTTTTTCTATTTTACTTACAGAAAGAACTAATTTTAAATCAGATAACATGTTAAAATCTAGACACTAGTTGCAGTGCAGAAAAGTCAAACCCAGGTTGTCACTGAATTATACTTTAAAATTGGATATAATTAATGAAGTGAAAATACAGAATTGAAAACAAGTCCGCTCTTTAAATGGAAATATTTCCTTACACAAAATGCAGATCAAGCTCTAATCTGCCCTTCAAACCAGAATAAAACTCCTTCAATGGTCTCCAAGACCTATATAATCTTTCAAACAGGACAACAAAAAATTTGAAATCTAATTTCAGTTTGAAAGCAGACACGGTGCTCATGTATTATTAACACTTGTCAAACAAGTTTTTAACATTTGCTTTCTTGGGTATTCAATCATATTTCCACCACATTTACACCAGAATGTTTGTTTGCAATATATTATCAGGAGTTCCCATGCAAGAGTGGTATGTTTCTGCAGCCCCACCAACAGAATCCGTCTTGCTGTTGAAGACACACCTATTGTAATGTTATAAGCTGCATGAGAAGATGTAAATGTTGGGGTTTGTGATGCAAAGCACAAAAAAAAAGTGATAACTTGTGTATAAAATAAACATGGTACATAGCATTGTGGGCGTGTTGGCAAACCAAGTCATGCACACAAAGCCAATATTAATCCCTTTAAATTGTACTATAAACCAACAAACCTGCAACTTGTTCTTTGTTTCCTCTGCTTAAAATGAGCAAACATGATGACATGACTCCTGACATTGTCAATGGTCCATTATGCTTCAAAATGCAGCCCAAAAATTAGCAGGAAACGTGCATTCTTGTGGAAACCACCTGCACAGTTTGGAGGTGTGTCTCTACATGCTAGTGTGCCACCATTAAAACAAATCATGACTTTTTCTGCATGGTTTTGGAGGATTAAAAAAAATACAAATAGAAAATCAAATGCAGAGCTGTGCCAGACATTCATGCTAAATAGCGTTCTTAATGCTAGCCAGAAGATTTCGCATAGATCCGTATGAAATCACGCTCTGGTTATCGTTTATGTCCTGATGTCATTTCAGTCTGGTCTTTCAACTCTTGTAAGTTTCAGTTTTCCACAGAATGTCTCTTTTTATTTAAAACATAAAAATCCTTTAAATTAACATCAGTGTGCTCTGAATTGAAAATCAGCACCCTTCATTCAGATGAAGGGTTGCTGTGGCGGCTGGCAGGCAAAAAAACCCTGTTTTCATACTTACATTCTGCCTTAGCCTGACTTTCAATAATAAAAAGGTTTTTCAGACGCATTAAAGATTACTTGAATCACAATAGCTCTTGTTTCAGTATTTTGTGCTGCCCATTCAAGCAGGTCTGCATACCAAGCTCTTTTCCCAAGATCGTGCTCTGAATACTGAATAGAGGCTAAATAATGTGGAATGAACACATTGTGTGCACCACCACCACGCCATTTTCTTCCCCTAAAACCCATTAGGGTCAAACATCTGACTTTAGCCAGTTTTTGTGTTTTAGCTGATGCTGCAGCCTCATTTTATCCAGCTAAACTTTGAGAGGAATTTTAGTTTTTTTTCTAGGAATGATCAGGATCAAAACTGCTTGAATAAATGTTTCCCATGTGCAAACAAAGAGGGATTTCTGGTTATAAATGCATTCCTTTCCAGGAAAATAATCTGATTTTAAGATAAAAATCAAAAAAATTCTTCCGTTTAAATGCCCTTTTTATACTCCTGTGAGAAAACTACCGGAATAAAAAACAAAAAGACATAACAGGGACAAATGTAGATGGAAAGGGAGAAGGGAAGGGGGGAAATATTTGTGATGGCTGCTATCCCTATCCTTATTTATAATAGTTACCAAGCAGCATATCTTGCAATTCATCAAATACAAAACAAATGCTAGACTGAATTTCTATTAAGTTGCAATTTATTTCATTTTAACATTTAAAAACAACTCCATATATATATATACACAAAAGTAACTAGTAACATCTGGGTGTTCATATTTTTGTATCCTTGATGGTAAAGCTTACAGAGAGTAGACCATTTTAATTTAACTGCAGTTTCTAAACTTGCTGAGCTGCAGCCTTGGCAGCTAATCGCTCTCGTCTCTCATGCTCAGCTTTCGCCCTAAAATCCTTCTCCCTCTGGATCAGCTGCCTCTTTTCAGCCTCCCAGGCCTTTAGTCGGCTCTGGTACTGCTCCATGTCTGGTTTCTCTACAGAGGCCAGGTTCTGCTGGGTCAGGGTGGTCACTAAATCTTGGAAGGAGGTGGGGTCCACTTTACCCTGAGACTCCAAATGACTGCTCAGCTCCTGGAGAGGAAGGGAAAGGTTAGATAAATAGTTTAATGCAATATCAGCAGCAATGGCAAAATTATACTATAGAGAAATCTGGTTAAAAAACTATTTTAACTGGGTTTTCCTAAATATATTACCAGTACCATTATATTACCATATAATGATTAATACATAGTAACAATAATTTTAACAATTACATAGTAATAATATAATAATAATAATAATAATTATAACTACATAGTAACATTTTAAGTTTGAACTTTTTTCATTAAAAGGTTACTAAAGCCTCCAGAGGAGAGAATGAGTTAGCCTATGAACATGTTGAAGTGAATACCACAGTTTTGCTTTGGTTTAATTTTCATTTTAAGCAGCATCTAGTAAAGCCAGCCTTTAAAGCCTTCAAATAAATCAGTAAAAGCCTTTAGATTTGTAATTTTTCTGGCATTGACTCAGCTTTTAAACAAATTCCTCACATTATTTAACAGGGCTTAATTCAAAGCTTAGACAAGGACGCCCAGAAGCTTAATGGTAGCTTCTTCTAACCCTAACCCTAGTGGTGTCTTTATGGGACCATTTTCCTGTTAAAAACCGGACTGTACCCAGTTTTCAGCCACCTAACTCTTAGTCTTATAAAAGGAAAAAGGAAAATAGGAACTTGACAGGATTCTCCTCTTCCCACTGAGGCTTTACTCGTTATTGCGTTGTATGGACTGGGTCCTTGTTTACACTGTAAAAACAGTGGTTCTCCTGGTACACTGTCCTTTAGATACATCTCCACTCTAGCATGATTGATCCAAAGACAGTATTATTAGTCTAACTCCTTCCAGACTGGAGGAACCGACTGTATGTGCTAGAGATCCTAGGTGTGAATGACATACCAACAGGTCAGAGCTCACGGACAAACTGCTATTGAAACAACTAGCGATCTGTTTATTTAGACTAAATAAATAGATGAATAATCAAATATTTTCTTATATTTTCTATATTTTATTTAATTAACTATTAGTAGGCATGATAACTTAAAAATGTTAAACTTTAGGCATGACTTCAATCAAAGATTATTCAACTCATGCACTTAAATTAAAAAGGCATTGTTCTTATTAACATCCCCTTTTACATACCTGGTACCACAGGAGCTAGTGCTTTCATTCTGCATCAATATAATTAGATTGTTACTCATTTGACAGGTATATAGATATGGATCAATGCATCATTACACCCCTAGTTGTGGCTAACTTGGATGCACCATATTCCATCCCAGTGAAGGTACAACTCATTCAGAGCTTATCTGTTTATCTTCCCTGGATGAAACGACCAGATGAACTCATGCATTTAACTGTTTGGGGGTTTCTGCCTCATAAAACCACCCCCCAGTAGATTATGTTGATTGTTTCTTTCAGTTAATTAAAAAACATATACATTATAAACCACGGATCCCCGGCCTAATCATTTTACATTAAATTATTTTGGTCTAAAAGACACGGTTGAATGAACTCACCATCAACTGAAAGAACAATTCACCATGTCAGCCTAATCAGAGATTTAACTATTAGTGTTGAAACCAGAACTCTATCAATACACGATATCTTAGGCTGGTTTGGGAAGTCTGTTACAGTAAAGAAAAAGCATTGAAACAAATAAAGCAGAGCAGCGCCATTAAGCTGAAGAGTTTAGGACTTAAACTTTATGTAAATATTATTAGAAAAACAACAAAACCCCCTGAAACAGGACTGCAGCGCTCCATTCGCTGAATCTTTTCTAAAAAAGCTGAGTCACAGATACAGACATAACAGGATACAGTGCTTGCCGGCCTGCATTCGGCGAGGAAAGCTCATGTAAATTTCGGCAGCAGCGACAAACAAAGGCAGCACACAACAAACACTCACCCTGAATCTGATGACATAGCGAGGAAGGTTAGCCTTCTCAGCCTCATCATCCTCATCGATGCCTTCCTCTGTTTTATTCTTCTCGACGTCCGACTCCTCTCCAGAGCTGTCTGCATCCGAGGTCGAGGACAGCTCCTGCAGGATGTGACTCACACTGTCAAGCTGGGGGAAAAAATTATTATTTTTTTTAGAGGTTTATAATGTGATAAAACTGATTAAAAAAAATTCTTGCCTATTTGACTAAACATCTTTCAAAAGCTAAACAGGTGTGTAATGACGTAGTAAGGCTGAGAATTACTTGATGACTCACCTCTTAATCTATGAGAAACGCTAATCTACTGTGACCTGAGGCTGCACTCAGCTGTAATACATCGTCTCTGTCTACATTAATGCTCTGCCTCTGTCAGACACCGACTGGTTTCTGTGGCAGTGATTCTCATGGAAAACCTCAAAGCTCCAGGCGGTTTAAAAATCTCATTAAACGTGAATAAAGCTTGGTTATTGAACTGGACAGCACCTCCTGGATTAGAGGCAACACTACCAGCTGTGCGTGCATGCATACACGTCAAAATAACAATGCAACTGCAGGTGGCTTTAACCTAAGCAAATGAAACCTGTCTGGAGATAAAACAGCAGGCTGTCTGTGTTGTATAATGTTGTGCATTGTTAACATTGTCACTATGCAGAGACGGTTTTAATGAATGCTGGTGGCTAAGCTAACTTTTTTTTACACTCCTACATCTCCATCTAAAGACTGTGGTAGAAAAAAAAAATACATTCTAGTGTGACACAGGTCCAGATCTGCTTTTAATAGGCTGTTTAGGATCTCTTGACTCCTTTAAGCTGCAGGTTACCAAGGCAGGAAGGTTCTGAACACTTAGGGAAACAGAACCACATCAAGCAAAAAGCTTAGACTGAGCAGGGAAGAAGTCAGGTGAACCATTATGATAATTTATTGATTCATTTATTTAATCATTATTTATCATGTTTTCTTCCATTAATTGGAACTGTTCAATAACAGTGCACTTCTTACAGGAAATATCCAGTTCCTATTTCATTACATCTTGCCATTTCCATGTACAAAGATCAAGAAAGATCCAAAGAATCCATTTGATGTTATTGTAACTCTCCAGACCTTTGGTTCTTTGTATTTCTTATGCACTCAGTTCTAGTATTTTTATGTATTAAATGTGGGGAATAAACATGGAACATAAATAAATACAATAGAATGCAATGATTTTCTTTAAGCTCTTTAAAAAAAAGAAACTTTTAATAAGACTTGCTAATGATTTAAACTTTGGAACCTTTATTTTTTGCCCCAGCAGCATCAGATCAGAGTTAGAATAAATTAAAATGAAGTGTGGTGTGTAGTTTGAACTTATTTTTATAAATGGATTATAATTTTTTCAAAATATTTCTCTGTCATGCCAACACAACAGCTATAGTATATTTCTAACAGTGCATTATTCGCTTGTTTGTATGTTAAGGATCGGATCAACCCCACTGGGTCAAATTAGTTTATTCATGTTAATTAGCAGTAACTTATGTTTCTCATTTTTCAGAAATGAATCCAGTCTTTGCAAAAAAAAAAAAAAAAAAAAAAAAAGCGATGTGTTTTTTTTCCTGAGATCCTTATGTTTCAGGGTATAATTATCTGGTTTCAGGTAATTATTTGATATACAACTTTCTCACAAGTCTATAAAACAAACTGATTTTACTTCACATCCTTTTGATCTTTTTGTAGAGAATGAGGCTTTCTGTTGGAGAACTTTCCAGACAATTACTAATTGCAACTTTACTTTTATTAGCTTTAGGATAAAAAAAAAAGCTAATTAGGGCCTGAGAGGTCCCTATTTAAATCTTGCAAATTAACACAACAAATTGAGATCACTTTGCCCAATTGGAAATGTAACCCAAGGTGAACAAAACAACAAACACAGCATAGTTGTACTGATGGATATAGTGAAGGTTACAGTTTAGCTAAAAGAGTGATGAAGGGCACGGAGTAGCGCAGGGCAATTAACTGGATTTTAGATAGAACTACAATTTCAAAAAACAGCTTCCAAATCCTAGAGGTTTAACTAGGGTAGGACAGTAACCTTTCTCAGCCCTTTAGGTGTGTAAAATTGGCTGACAGTGGGTTTGCAGCCACACTGAAGAAAGGAGAGTTGTAGCCAAATTGTACAGCCGTTGCATAAAGTCAAGTTGGCTGTGAAGGGAAAAGCTGTCAGACGCATTTTGCTGCAGGAAAAGCAGCTGAGGAATTACTGTATATAGAGCATTAACAAGCGTGGGAAAATCTGAACCATGTTTATTATCATAAAACATAATAAAAAAGTCGCTAAGGAGTATTTGCACCACTATTGTGTGAAATTACAGCTTTAAAATGAAACTAAGCAATGAACAGAGATAGCAGCAGTAAAGAAGACAATGTTAGGAAAAAATAAAAACCTAAAAAATAAGTGTTTTTTTTTTAAACAGAAACTACTCTAAATTCAAATTTACTTTTTCCCCCAAACTTGTAGATGTTGAAAAAACTGTATTTGATATGGTCTTTTTCTTTATTTATTTAAAAAAAAAAAAAAAAAAAAAAAAAAAAAAACTTTTTCCAAGCTAAAAAAACCCCAAATACATATATATTTATATTTTGTTAGTTATATTCCCCACCCCCCCAGGCAAGAGCAACAAACTACACGCAAAAAAGTCTGCTAATCAGACAGTTAATAAGTCATACATTTACAGCTCTGACGTTGTTTGTTCCTGTACAAGTTCAATTTTTAGAAAATAGTCAGCAACCAAAGGCCAAGTCCAGGAAGTGTGTTTCTTTTTAAGGAGCTTTTCATAGAAAACATTAATGTTTGTGATCTACTCTTACTGTGTCTTTAGACAGCTTGATGTCACCAGAAGCCGCAGAAACTCTCTCCATCACAGCCAGCGCTCGTCCCAGATATCCTCTAACCCACGACAGAGGCATGCCCTTAAATACAGCATGGATGCCCTTTAAAATCTCCACCTTGCCTGGATGAAGAGGAAGAGACAAAACAAATGAGACAAGCTGATAATGAGAGAGCCCTGGATGAATCAATCACAATGCAATTGGGAAGCTGTGGGGACAGACGACAAACACACCGAGGAGAGCACTGCCAAGGAGCTGTGCGCTGAAGCCAACAGTGTTGTCTTGCTTTAGCCCGCAGAGGAGGAGTGACGCCCCGATTGCTCGCTCCTCTGACACCTGAGCACAAAAACGAGTAATTTGAAATGTCTATCCCATTTTATGTCAAAGCAAACTGAATAAGAAGCAGAAAAATAATAGGTAATGAGTTTCCACCCACAGAGAGTTGGGGTTTGGTTGCAAGGAAAGAGCCCAAAGCGTTGAGAGAGAGGATCTGAGTGGAGGGAAGATCGAAGGCCTCCTGGAGCATCACCTCTTCCACCACAGAACATGCACCTGCACAATCAAAGCACATTAAAAAACTGTATTGTTATTTAATTCATAATTTTCTGAGAGATATTTTATACATTCATGTATGGAATACTGTATTTTCTCCTGTATTTCAGATTATTTCTTAAAGATTCAACATTTATGGTTAATTTCTCTCTAATTATTCTTCTGTTTTTACTTTTGTTTTTACATATCTTCTTTAACTGTGTGGCTGCAAATACAAAGCAAAAGAAAATGTTTTCGCAAAAAACAAAGTATATACCTTGTAAAATTTGTGGGATGTATTATACTTCATTAGTGCAACTTTGAGCCACATGAATTTTAAATGAAAAGAACCATCATACTAATCGTTGTCTTGTTATGAGGCTCAATTTAACCTAGTTGTGAAGCATCAAACTATTAACTTGTGTTGAAGTGGAATTACCTGGACATGGTACACATTATTTCAAAATACCAGTACCGATGGCAGCACAGCATGACACTGCCACTGCCATGCTCAATAGTTTATAGAGATCTTTGGTTGAAAAGCCACAGCTTGACTCAAGCAAACATCAGCTTAAACAGATTGTAATAATAAACAAGCCTGTTCTGATCCACTTCTGTTTTCAATAAGGTCAGAAATATAAAATCACAGAACAAACAGAGGTGTGGAGAGGAGCAGGGTTGATATAGACACAAAAAAGAGCGGCAGAATGAAGTGGCAAATGAACAAGACTTTACTTTAATGAACCTTACTTTTAAAGTCTTCATTCTTAATGTAGGAATCCAACAGCAGGTTAAAGGTAAAGTCATCTGGGAATATTCCATACTGGACCTGCGCAAACATACAGGAAACAATACTACGGTATAAATAAAACAAGTTCAGCCATTATGCTTCAGTACAAACTGATTAGTAATAGTTTAATGCGATATCATCAAAAATGGTTATATCAGGTTGGAGGGTATAATAAGCAGTTTAATTACAACTAAAATAAATGACAAAGGGAGCTCTTAACTCAGCCTAAAGATTCCCCACAAGGAGTTTTAGCTTCAGAGTGTCTCTAATCAGAGCAACTGGGAGAATTTCCCATCTTGGTGAAGGGATGTGGCTAATTCTATTGCTAGGAATTAGAAAGGAAAAAGGAATAAGAAGATGAATGCACTCCTAGTTAACAATAGAGTGAAATTTACAGATTATAGAATCCCGGTTGGATACAAAAAATTTAAATAAGGAACAAGATGATAAAATGGTATCAAAATTCTCATTTTAGTTACTCAGAGCAATGGTCATATCCATTTGGTATTAATTTGCACTCATCTGTAGATGTTTTACTGTGATTGCCTGCTTGTATAAAACATTCGATTTGGAAAAAACATAAAAAAAAAAAAAAAAAAAAAAAAAATGCTATAGCAAAAAACTGAACTTTCATCCAGTGCCTCAAATGGTGTCCCACTCCTACAAAATTACAGAACAGTATGTCATTAAAATTAAAAAGAGCTATGTCACAGGCCATATTTGAAAAAGGTCATGAATTAATGAATCAAAAAGAGCTTGGCAACAGGAGCTTAAAAGCAAAAAAAGATAAAAGGGTAGATAAAATTGTCAAACATGTAAATGCACATCACTTTGAATTCAATTCAATTTCAATTCAGTTCTTATCTTATTTATTTTGCATGATTCACAGCATATGTCATCAGGTACTGTACATTACAGAGACAATTCAGTCAGAATATTAAAAGTGTTTATGTAAGGAAAACCCTCCATCTGGATGTGGTGATAGTCGAAATTTGATTGAATAAATAAAAAAACATGAAAAAACACAAATCAGAGGCAATGAAGACAAGATAAATGATCCCTTGTTCAGCCTTCATAAGAAGGGAAGGAGAAATATCAAGTGCAAATTGTGAATCACATTATGAATTGCTCCGTGTGGTAGAACCGATTCACATCGTATTAACACCAACCACGGGAGAGGTCTATATATTTCAGCAGCTATCATTACTTGAGTTATCCCATTGTGTCCCAATAAAAGCAGACATAGAGGAGCGAATATTCATTATATGGGTTCATCGGATCATTTTGAGGCTATGCAAATATGGATTTATTGTTATAGCACTGTTAGGATGAGTCCCAGTTCCTTATTTGACTCCCTCGTTGCATTTTATTCATATTACTATTTTCCCCCATTTAAACCCTGTTTAAGTCTGTTTAATGTTTCTCAATGCATTTCCTCAAGATTGCAATATCTCATATTATTATTTGCTGTTATTTTTATGAATATCATACAAAACAAAAGCCTCGAAGCAGCTTTTAAGTTTCTGCAGTAACACTCCATTTTGCTGCCAGATTTACTTTCTCATAGGAAAAACATCTACCTGTAGGATGTTTCTGCATCATCTTTGACTTTTAATTCTCTCTCAAGTTTCAGTTCATGAAAAAGACTCCACATTGACTGCATCCCTTTGTGAAACTCTACCTTTCATCAAACCTCCAAGCTGAAACTAGTTGAACAGACAATGAGAGTCTTTTGAGAGGAGCCAACTGTTGACGGCAGACCTCCACCGTTTGTGGGTTTGTTTTCTCGAAACGAGGGGCTGGGATTGAAACGTGTAGGTAAGGAAAGGAAAGAGGAGGAGGATGTGAGAACTTCCTCAAACTGTTTGCAGTTTCGCCCTCTGGGACTCGGTGGTCGTAGCTGGGCAAAAATGGAGAAGCTGCTGTTCTGCATTTCATCCGAAAAGAAATTACTGCATTTACCTGAACTGGCACGATAGCATGGGATGGAAACCAGTAATCCACACTGCTACGTGAAACACAAACCCAACTGCATTCATTACTTTCTAATATAGATAGGCATGTGTGAGCTATTCTGCATAGTCAAGAGTTATTAAAAAAAAACACGTTCAGGCATGAACATTTAGTAAAGAAGTAATTTTATTTTCATTTGATTCTTCAGCAGTAAGGAGAAACACTCCTCTGAATCACACAGACATGTAATGTTTGTGTCTGGGACACCTACTGTGTCCATCACCTCTGTTTGATCAAAACCTAAAAGACAGAAGGGGATAGGTGTTTTCTCTTCCTCTTCCTCTGCTTTGAAAGAGAAGCACAGGGAGACATGCAAGCTTTTTGAAACTTGCAGAACTGATCTCATGCTTGAAGCATTTGTTGGTCAGGCAGGAGGAAAATCTAATTCTGGTGTTATGAGCTGTACAATTAGTCAAAAAATATGTTTAGAAAATAATCTACAGTTTGTCTTTATTCAGCAGAAGCATATCATTGCTACAATCATACTACGGTAAGATGAAAGCACATCAAAATAAAAAATGTAATGAAATCACACATTTTCAAAAATTAAAGAATTAAATCACAGCTTGTTACACAAAAACAGTTATTGGAACCCGATTATTTAACTTTATATTTATCTCCCACAACAAAGTACACAGAAACTTGCCTATTTACAATACAGTCACAAGTATAGCAAAGTTATAAATGTGAGAACAATGCAAACTTATTTGTAAAAAAAACTAGTACATTAAATAAACTTTTCATTGCTTGCAGTTTACAAACTGACTCTAACTTAGAATATATTCTTTTGATAACAATTCACAGCTTTAAGTATCCACGTGTGTTCTCTGATCTATATATCAACATCTTTTCCTTATTCCACATTAAACCAAAATATCCATGTTCCCTTTCAGTTGTAAAACTGAGAATCTAACAAAACATTATCTTTTACCAGTCTATTTAAAAGAAAAAATCTGACGGCTAGACATTGCCATTGTTGTGCTTGCAGATAATTTTCGAACACATAACCATGCACCTTCAGGCATCTTGAAATCGTTCCTCTTCGAGATGTCTTGATTATTTTTAATTCATTGCACAAAGAATTGACCAGTTAAAACACACCAACAGGAGTAGATCCATTTAGCTAAAATGTTATTTTATGATGAAGTGTATTACAAATCTGGAATAATTATTAGAATTATTGAAATCCTGTCTGACTTTTAGTAGGGAAGGTTTAATCTGATTTGATGAAGACCAGTGTACTTTTATTCTTTCTTTCCTCACTTTCTAATTTCATGAGCTCTATCATCTTTCAGTTCTTCTCCGCTACATCCATGGCCTCATGACTACCTTCCAGGGTTCTTTTGCTTTGCTCACACTCATCTTCTGAAATCGTGTCATAGTCACAGGACTCTATGCGGACTCTTTCAGAGGTGTACACCTGCTCTACCTCTGCATCAGATTCATTAGATGACTCTGATTGTAAGAGGCGATGAGTAGTATCAAATTGCTCTTGTGCTTTTTTTTCTCCTTCATAAGACTCCTCCTCTGAACTTTCCTGATACTTCTTTAGTTTGGGAGTCTTGCCAGTTCGAAGTTTATCAGTCTGAGCATTCTGTTCCTTTTTCAGGTCAGAAATGTAATGATCCCCGTCTGATGGCTCTTGCTGGTCCATTCCTGGACTATACTGGCTCCTCCTGTACAAACTCTCCTCATCCTCCTCTTGACAGGAGCTTCCTGGGATGCTCTCACCATCAGACTGCGAGAGACGGAGGCTGGGCAAACCTGGAGGTTTCTGGGAGAGGTCAAACGGTTCCTCTTGGTTGAAGTGGGAGATGAGACCCATCGGTGTGGCTAGGCAGAGACGTCCTCTTTGACGAAACACTAAAATTAAGGAAATGTTACAACATTTGGGAGAATATAATGGAAATTTGAAATCATTGCAATATTTATCTCCTTACATCTTTCATCCAGTCCTCTGTCCATGACTCCATGTTTAACCTTCATGTGTCTGGTGAGGTTCCCCTTTAAAGTGAACTTGCTTGGGCAGTAGAGGCATTTGAAGGGCTTGCTGTCTGAGTGAAGATGCATGTGACCCATGAGGTTGTGCATTCTGTTAAATTCTTTCCCACAAAGCTGAAAGAGAGGAAATGTAACTCAATGTTTTTGAATATTTAGCAAAATGCTAATGATGCTTTGAACTATTCAAGAATTTGAATCTAGCATACAGATTTCTGGTACAGATGTGTAAACATTTGTTAAACTGGATATGTGCAAAGGAGACTTACTTATAAAATTGGTTCTATTTTCTACCTATTCTGCTGTGCAAATGCCAACTCCTATGCTAAAAGGAATAAAAAGTGAACCTTTGGTTACAGCTGTTATTCTAATGGTTGTCTCCCTATATGGTGCTATTGTTAACACTTATGGTTTATCAGGGTTATCATGGCTTAACATGGTCTCACTTTTAAAGTCAACCTTTATTATCAACAGTGATGGTGTCCACAAATGTAGATAAAATTGTGGATTTTTAATGTGCTTTCCTTTTTATTTGAATAATTAAAACTACTTAGTGAACATAAGAAAATGGGCCAATGAATCCACCGTCAGTCTTGTTAGGTTTGCAACTTCCATTCAGTCAGTCTGTCAATGTCAATTTGGACAGAAAAACTTTTTTTTTTATATCCTGGTGAAAGACTAGAATTACATTTCTATCACTTTAAAAATTCATCCAAAATATTTATCTGCAGCCGCATAAAAAAAAAAGTTCATTAAAATTTCATTACAAAAAGAAAACAATTATGCACTAGAAAGAATTATATCACTAATGGAATAAAATACTAATTTAATAGTAATTAATAATGTTAAATTTTGTCTCTGACATGTCCTTTTCCTTTCTCTTTAGATCACAGAGCAGCAAAGCAACACGTAATCATGAATGAATGTGCAGACAATAGGACACACACCCTTTCTTCCTCCCTCTATCCTTGTTTTTCTATTTTCCTCTCTGTCTTCACCCTTCCTCTCTGACACTCACACAAACATTCTTGTCTTGCTACATGATTCTCAGTCATTTTGAATGCCATCTATGCCATACCCCTCACAATAAGCCTAAACCTAACCTTAGCCTAAACTCAATTCACAGCTTGAAACCAAACCTATTTATTATCAAAATAGAAAGTGAGGACCAGCAAAATCTCCTCATTTAGTAAAAAATGCAAATTTGCATGCACCTATTTTAAGATACAACTGACACATTTTTTTTGCAGTGAAATCTAAAATATGGTCCTTACTCTGATGCCAAAACAGGAGCACACGAACAGAAAAGTTCAGAAAGAATTAGAGGCAGAAAGAGAAGGGAAGCAACCCTGAGACACGACCAGGAGGAGAACAGGGAAGGGCAACTCCTGCGCTGTCCTTCCTCTGCATTCTTTTTTATTAGGGTGGTCCTTTCCTTCAGGAGGAGAGAGGGACTGTAAACTGTCCAAGAGGACCGTGAGAAAACAGGAAGCTCCCTCGAGCAGCAGAGAAAGCGAGATGAAATCTATTTGCGGGCCCCGTTCTCTGGGGAGGCTGGGGGGGCCATTGTTAGAAAGGCGGTTTGCACCGCTATATCCTTCCTATGGACGAGGAGGCTCCCATTCCCATGAGCCTCTCTGCTATCTGGTCATCGTTTCAATCCTTATATCACTAAGGTCAAATCAGACCTTTAAGAAAATTTGGAAAACACTCTGACACGACCTCCCACTTTAAAGAGAATACCTCATATCGTTAGGTATTTTCAGTACTTTTGCTTCACAGTTAAAGTGAAAGGCTGCATGTAAAAAAAATGGAAATGTACTTTTTTTTTTTCAAATTTTATGAATAAACTAAAGTATGTTTCTTCTTTCTGCATTAAGTTTATCAAAATTCGACAATTCTGATCATTTCTTGATTTTCTTCTGTTTTTT